AAGATCACCTATTTATAATAGTTAAGATAAAACCTAATCAAATAGTAATCTTAATCTTAAATAAAGACTTAAAGTACTAAAATTCTAATAAAGATAGGAAAAAGAATTTCAAACTAAATAAAATAAAGAAAATAAAATCCTAAGCTAATGAAAATACTAAATAAAATAAAATTCTTAATGCGCCTACATCACTTTTGCTCCTATCTAAGGCTGCGAAATGAACAACTTCAAGTCAGCTAAAAAATGCCTTCCCTGGATCATTGTACTTATGGGTTAGCCAAAACTTTAAGAAATTAAAAGTAGTTTCCCTAACTGAAGTTCTGATTGATGCCTGTTTCTGGTGGCAATTCTCCCTGTTAATACCCACATACTGATGAGCTGTGGCATTTGGAATCTTGCTATTATGTTCACAATTTCTCAAGAAGTGTTCAGTGGCCACCCCAATTGAACTCTGTTAAACTTTTTGCAATATTGCATAACTGGAGGATACAGAAGTAGTTTGAAAGCAGTTTATCAATCAAGAAAAAGAAAATGTTTGAAAGCAGTCTAGGCGGTTGCTCTTTAAGAAGCATGTGCAATTGAGCAAGTTGAATAAAGACACGTAATAGTACCAAAGATGAGGATAGAGCCAACTTTGTCTACATTTTATGCACCTTGACGATGGAGGTGTATTTGAAAAATACCAGTAATCACTTTTGGTTAAATAGATGCTTCATTGAATTCAGTTGTTTTCAAGCCGGTTATTAGAGTGTTCTATTGTACGAAATCTGATTGCTGTGTTGGTATTCTTTGTGGCTAAAGATTTGGTTTTGCCCTTTTTTGCAGAATCAATGCCTTGGTTCTGTTGCAGGTGGGAGCAACCTTACATTTTCTGTTTTACTTCATACTCCCATTTAAGCATTCTAGTTATGTGATCTGCGGAAGCAACTCAAATAACATCTTTGAATATCCAATTATGTTTGGTGCTACATAAAACTGTATGTTTGTTTCCACAACACAGAACAATTGATATGAGAAATAGTAAAATTTGTCCTGTAGATGTAAGATTTTACATCATTTATATAATAATGAAGGAAAATTACTGTGAATAGCTTTTGCTTCTCTAGTCTCTCGGCTATTCTGTCCATTCTCAGGTTCTTGAATTAATGGAACGGGAAGGAACAAAAATCATGTAACCTAGTTTAGTATTTAAACTTAAGTTGAGATGGAATTATGTTTCTTTAGTTGCAAGGTTGATATTGCAGAAACATGGTTACAAGCAGAAATGCAGAAACATGAGCCGAAGGAACCGAGTAGAGCATGGGATGCAGATTTTAATCTACCATGCTTAAGATGGTTAGAGCTTTTGTCTGACATTCTGCCCAAATGTCTTGTCATTCAAAGCATTCTCTAAATGGAAGTTTCCCAAGATATTCATTCTGAGCAAAGCTAATGTGAATTACTTGGAAACTTCTGAAGATATGATAAGATGCTACGGCATAGTTGCAAGGTAACATAAAAGGTTTAATTAAACATCTGTTGGGAACCAAACATTTAAGGCGTTTTACATTAGCACAAAGGCTAGGAAGTACTAGCACATTTCTAAAGACACTCTGCTATTTCCTTTGCTTTCAATCACACCAAAGTCATACCTCTTAGTCGAGAAAACTACAACTCTACAAAGTTGATTCTGATGTTTCGCTTAACCATCACATGGTAATTCTTTATCCGTTTGCTATTCTCAGAAGAATTGCGTTCAACTTCCTGTAAATGAGTGTATAAACAATACATGGCAGACAGAAGTCAGAATAGAAAGCAACTTCAGCATTCATCCTCCGAGAAGCATGTCTTACCCAGAATTTGGGCTTCTTCAATGAGTTCCTTTCAGAGGTCGAAAGACAAGGACATTGCCAAATAAACATACCAGAGCAATGTTCATTCTTCTTCTTAGTCTTTCTATAAATCTTGTTGGAATATGGATTTTTTTAAATGGATCTAAATCCATTAATATATCTATATAGACAAAAGTTGCTTGTTTGTTGGTCATTAGAATTGCAAATCACTTATGAGATAACTTTATATTTAATTTATAATTTTTTTGGCATATCTTTTATTGTTTTTCTTAAATAACGATCGTTGTTATTAACTTGAAATATTATTTTCGCTGAACCTTTCAATGTTTAAAGCTTTTCATCTAAAATCTTCTTCAAATCTAGCATGAAGGCAAAAATGTTAATTTTGTTGGGAATAAATAGGTTAAGGTGGCCAATCCAAGTTAAACGCAAATTTTGTGGTCATAAATGGGTTGGCATGATGATTATGACACAAATTCGACTATACAAAATCTAAACTCACGTAATTGTGAATCGTGTTTGTATCCAAAAATTACGAGCACTATTTCACAGTTTCTTTATCTTCTTCAATTTATCAAAATTAAGTAAACAAAGTGTTCAGTCTCCGGACGGGAGGGCTAGCCTTGCAATCAATAGCAGATATATTTTAACATGATAAATTATTGCCACGTTGTGTTCTTTCCAATACATGTGCTCTGATTTCTTTATATTTACTTTGGTAGGATGATAAGAAATTAGTCACATTTTGCACGTGGCATGTGAAGCATGATTAATGTGGTTATCACCACATAATAAAAAAAGAAGAAAAAAGGGACTTTAACAATTCAAATTTGAAAATCTATTCTCTTTTACCAAAGTTGTTGACAAAAGTTAGGTATTCTTTGACTTATTAGCTGATAGTGTTGAAGCATATATGCATTTGACGGAATAAGAACCTAAACCATCGAAGTTTTTTGTTAATAATTAAATCCAACCCTTTTCACCACATCTTTCATCTAGTTTTTGCTTTAATTGGTTCCTAGCTAGTTTCTTTCAATTTTTGGTCTTACATTGTCGATCTTTTAGTAATTGTGATGTTATGTTTCTTCATGTTACACAACAACCAGCGAAGCAATGTGATCACATGAATATCGGTGAAATTTAATAATGACCAGGCTTAGTGATTATCAAATAAACATGCAGTGTAAAACTTTTGAATTGTTTATGTTGCAGTCTGACGAATCTGATCATACATAAGGTGCTAGCAAATGGGATCACCATCGACGTCCTCTAACAAGTTGCCAATAAAATAAGGGTATTCTTCGGTGTTGCTTTGTAGCCCGCCTTGCTAGCGAAATGTTGCTTTTAAGATATAAGCGAGCATAATTCAAGCACTTGAATAACTTCTCTGATGTTTCCTCTACTCTTATCCACGTTTAACTCGTGTTTCTTAGTTTAGATTGATTGTACCTATAAATGCAAGATTCTTCTTTGTAGCAACAATCACTTAAGAATTACGTGGATTAGTTCTCAATCACCTTCTCCTTCCTTCGATCTCCAAGTTCAGCGTCTAATTAAGATCTGTCGTGGCCAACATACATTGATCAAACAAGCTGCTTAAATGGAGCGTTGCAGCGAGGTTTCCTTACATGACAGCAATGAAAGGAAAAACAAGAACACCAATACAAAGAAAAAGGAAAGGATGAGCAGGAGATTGGTTGTAGAGGAAGAGAGGGGAGACGTGAATGAACTGGCTGATGCTTTCATCAAGAATTTCCGCAACCAACTGAAGATTCAGCGCGAAGAATCTTTTAAACGTTTCCAAGAGATGATAAACCGAGGAGTTTGAAGTTAATGTACTGCAAGTGCAAAGTGAAAAGTAGTGATATTTCTCAGTAATGTTGTGTTATGAAGTTAATGTACTTTCAGATTCCATCAAGTCTCTGGTAATGAATATTGAGCATAATTAAATGTATAAGCAAAATCATTAAACCACCAGCTGAAGTACCAAATATTGGTACTTGGTATTTGATGTAAGATGGAAGTTGACCATGTTGAGAAAGTTTCCAAAAAAGATGAAGGAAGGGAAAGATTAAGCAATAAATTCGATAAGTTAATTGATTAAGTAGCAAGATTACTCAACTAATATTCAATGATAATCGACTAACGTGAAACAGAGGTCAACACTGAAAATTTGAAGCACGTTTAATCGATTAATGTTCCATACACACATATGTAACAACAATCTTTTAGGCTTATTTTCGGACTATATGTAGTTCTTTCAACAAAATGGCTACAAAGTTCCACATTTTGGAACCGTTTTAATTATGGAAGCAATTTTTTGAGATGACAGAATGATTCTCAATGAAAGGAACCCAATGGAAAGAAACTTGGAGATAACTGACTTTTTAAGAGTTGACACAGAAAACCGCAAAATAGTTTTCACCAGATTATCAGATAAGTTTTGTTCATTTCTCGAATTTATTTGCATGATTGCCTGAATTTAGTCGTTACATATTTAAAAGGAGTTATGATGTTACAATTATGTTTCTATTAATCATTTTATAATCAACTTGTATCGAATCAATTAGTTGAAATTGAACGTCCTTAATAACTTTATAAAATGAATATGCATAAATCTATCAATAGTCCTAGAAAATTGAAAAATTGCCATTACTAGGGAAAGGCTTCAAAGAGAAGCTTAAAAAATTAAAACGAAGATTTGTCTCTTGAAGAGCTTGCGAGTTATTTTTAAATTGCAGAACAATATTGCACGGAATATGAGAAATGAGAAAAGAAACAAAAGATTCATGTATCAAAATGTACATGAGATGGGGGAAGGATAGTTTAACCAACCCATAATGTTAGTTTCACCATGATTTTGAAATGACAAAATTAATTGATCTAAATATGCTTTGAAAATGCTAGAAAATATTTTTAAATTTGAAGAAAATCTTCAAGAGTTTTGAAGTTGATTATGCAAAGAAAAATGCTTTTAGACAAATTCAAACTCTAAACTACCAACCTTAAGAATCGACCTATCGAAAGTAAAGAATCGATTCTCAACTATACAGAAAGCAAAAATTATTTTCTTTTTATAGGAGATATCGATTCTCTAAAAAGAAAAAGTCAGTTTTGCAAAATATAAAAGCTATTGGAATAGGCAAGAATCGACAACTCAGAAGGCAATAATCGATTCTAGGAAAATAGAAGATAAAAAGAAGAAATCCAAGCATGAAAGAATTGATTCTCCATGAAGCAATCGTCGATTCTGAGTAAGAAAGAGTCAACAAGCACAAGCCTGAAGACAAAGAATTGAGTCCTGAAGAAGAAGATATCGGTTCTTGGAGCATCAAAGACAAATATCAAAAACCTTAGAAAAGAAGAAAGAAATGGAACAAATGGATACGATTAGAGCATCAAAGATCAAGTTAAAATTAAAATTTTGATGCTTGACTATAGTGAAGAATCGACACTTGGTGAAAGAAGAATTGATTCTTGAAAAATTGTAAAGGTACCACCTTTGAACCAAGTTGAGAAAGAATCAACATCTTAAGAAGAAAGAATTGATTCTTAGGATACAGAAGTTCTAGACTTTAGGAATGATATGAAGAATTGATACCTCATGGATAAAGAATCAATTCTACCAAGTTCCAAACTAAGGCAGATATCAATTCTCGATATGGACGAACTGATTCTTCAAGTACAATAGACTTAATCCAATTGGCCTAAACATTCAGAAAATCATTTCAAATTTGCCATAACGGGTAAATTCTCTCAAGACCTATAAATACCTACATTAGAAAAGAAAAGTAGAGAAAGAAAAAAGGGAAAAAGAATAGACAAAAAAGAATACAAGCTGAGTAGAGATTAGAAAGCTAGAAAAGCTTAAAAATTCTTCCTTTGGTTCAAAAAAGAGCAAAAATCGCAACAAGATCATTCCTTTCTTCATCATCACAAATTTTTGAGGTGAAACATTCCTTTATTAGTCCTTATCTAGCAAAATTCTCTCATATTTTTGTCCTCAAATTGCTTATCAGCCTTGTTAGAGCTCTTAAGGTTTTTACACTCTCTAGTATCTATTATTGTTAGTTATACCTCTAAGCAAAAGGTAGTGTTAAAAGTTATACCTCATTTTTAAAAGGTAGAGTTTAGTTATACCTTCATTAAAAAGGTAAAAAAGGTTGAACTTGATCCTTGATAGGAAATTGGTTGTAAAGGTTGTGCTTGATCCTAAAAAGGTAGTGACTTTTGTAAAGGTTATGCCTGATCCTAAGAAGCTAGTAACTTTTCT